AGCCTTGCTGAAAAAGTGAAGTCTGAATTACCTTTTGAAAACTTAAAAAAGAGATGAGGCTGATCTGATCTCCAGGGGAATGTCATTCCAGAAAAGGGGAATGCAACTTAGATCCCTATAGATGCTACTCCGTAGGGGTAGGGACCTGGAGGGATCCTTCTCCTCCAGATCTTCACAGATGGGCATATGCTACTGGGAGTAGGAAGTCTCAAAATCATCCAAATCCTGACCCTTATAAGTGCTTTAAAGATGGCAACCAGCAACCTGAATTACACCTTGAAGCAAACTGCTAACCAGTGCAGCTCTTGAAGCAATAACGTTATGTAGACAAACCAGCTGGTGCCCATAACTGCCCGAGCTACTGCATTGTGGAGCAGCTAAAACAGTAAGCTAAATTACACATGGCCAAGGCATGAGTGACAGTGAGCAGAGCCTCCTAATCTGAAAAATGTAATAATCTTTCCAGTATATTTCATCTAACATAGCAGCTGTGCTTTTTGTTGAAAGATGCTTAATCTTTGTTGTTCAGGTCTTAGTCACCTTCATATAAATCTGCTTTAATGAACTCTGCATCAGATTCTCTATGAAGGTACTTTAATTGGTAGAGAATGCCAATGACTTAGCAAAGATTGACACAGATTTGAATAGCTGTACTGTATTTCAGTTGCATTGAAACATCTGGCCTAATTGAAAGGGTCACCTTTTACCTTTAAGGTTGTACATTATCTGGGTTCTGGGTAACTCAAGAAGCATCTTGTCCCATATAAAGATCAGTTAATTTCTAAAAAAATATGTTTCTAGTTGACTACCACTTGGACTTTGGTTGAAAAGCATTGCAAATATTTTATAAAATGTTAAAGCTTTGCCCATTTCTTTAATTTCTGTTTATCTTTCTGCCTTGGATTAGTTCGTTACACATGAAACCCATATTCTAAAATACTATTTGAAATATCTTAAGATAATGAATTCACACTGCATCCCTCCCCTCCTTTTTTATAAACAGTACACAAGGCTACACAATATCTAAAGAACAAACATACACACAGAGTAAAACTATCTAAATATATCTTAAAGCAAAAGCTAAAAGGAAAACAAGCATTTATGTCCATAGAAATTGGATATCTGAAATCAAGAAAACCAGCAGGTAATGTATGAAGCACGCAATGACACAAGTTTTGCTGCACTATTAGAAATACCCAGATATATAAACAAAGATATGATATATAGATCTCAGACTGCCTACCTGGAAAAAATTCCTAAAAGAATTTAATCCACGTCCTTCTGCACGACAGTTGAATATCTCTCCTGTTGAAGAATGAATAGTGTTCTTCTGCACGACAGTGCAGAAGAACACTTTTCATTCTTCAACAGGAGAGATATTGGTGTACTTGGTTATCTATTGTTTATTGGCACTGAGACTGCAATATTAAATAAAGTTAACATAAAAATCCTATAGTATTTTAGCACTATGATATGAGAAAAATAAGCGGTGGCCAACCCTGCATAGAGATAATTGGAAAACAAACATCCATCCCTTTGTAAGTCTGAATCCCAGATACATTGTCTGTGCACTTGGCATTTCCAAAACCAATAAGATAATAAATCCAAGAGAGGACACAGAACTGGAGTTTTTCTCCAGGATTATTTTCCATGGGGATTTGAATTTGTCTTCTAGTATTAAAGAGCCCAAGTTGGCCACGATGCAGGAAAAAATTAGCCAAAGATTGCTTCTACTGAGACTAGTTCTATTTCCAAGCCTAGGATTGCATTTCGTACATACTTGGCAACATGTCAGATGTAAAAAGGAACCATGGTTTTCTACTACATGAATGCAGCAACATTCAGACTTTGCTTGTATCCTCAAAGAATAGATTATAACCTTTCAGTTGAAATAAACAGATCCCCACAATGTTTAAACTTAGGAATTCTCACTTGTTTTGACCCATGTTTAGTGAAAACCAATCAGAATCAAACAGAATTAAGATCTCTGCTTTATAGTCTAAACTTGGCTTTCTCAAATTCAGATATAATGATTCATTTTAAATGGCTTATTTAAAGTCAAAAGTGAACATTTCTAACCTCTCACATGCAAAAAGTAGGTAAAGGAAATAAAGAGCACCCAATCTCTAAACTTGCACAGATTTCGCTCATTTAGGAAGAAACATTATTTTATGTTACATTGAAGTTCTGTATAATCCTGTACACATAAGCAAAGAATAGGAATAGACTTGTGTCACCTAAACAACCATGAGTATATGTGCAGAAAAGAAAAGTGCAAAGAGCAAAGTGTTTTTTTTTTTTTAAGCACCACACTGATTTGTGTAGACTACTGAGCAGTGAATTCATTGAAATAAATTGTGGCTGCTAACAAATATATTGAGGTAAAAGTATGCACAGTAAATTACTAATTGAAGTGGCATTGTATTTAATTCCTGAATAGACACTTCTGGAATGTGCCTTTTGAAAAAGAAAGACACATCATATTAGTTCCAAAAAATAATTGATTAACCAGCTTTCTTAGGATAAAATCCAAAATCCTAATCGTGCTTGAACGGAAGTAGATTACCAATTAGAAGGGTAGAATGAGAGGTCATATTCATAGAATATTTCTCATGCAAGAAATTCTTTAAAAGGGACTTCTAAATGTATACTGCAAAGAATTAATACACATGGCCAATTTTACATGTATATATTTTAGGACATTGGTATGAGAGAAAATCAGAATATCAGTGGAAGGCTTCCATAGCATATGTATAATACAAAATAATTACCCATATACTTGTTAGATCAGCTTACGTGTAACTTCCATGTATTCTGTGTGTGTGTAGAGACTTAACTGAAACTTCTATGCATTGAGCATATGTGAACTGAACCCACCAAAATAAAAGGATACTGGCAGAGGTACTATTTCTCCCCAGCTCTCTTCCCTCATTAAGATCAACGGCAAATAAAATTGTCAGGCCTGGCATTTAAACAATTTTCTCTATAGTTATTAAAATAATAAACTGTCTCCAAAAATCTGTCACTTTCAGAAAGAGCAATTTGGGAATTGAGCTAATTAGATCGATAGTGCAAACTCAAGAGAAATATTAAAACTGGAAATACAATCAGTTGAAATGTTTCTTGTGTCAAAAACTTATTTTCTCATGTGAACCCGATGATGTGGATAAATTACTTGAAGTCTTTGGAACCATATCCTTCCAAGTAATTAAAAATCTTCCAGGGCTGAGTTTATCATCTGGCCCTTAGAGATGGTTAATCAGGGACAGTAAGTTCCCACTACATTTAAGGAAGCTGTAGTTAAACACTTGCTTAAAAATATAGAACTTTAAATTATGGATAAATATTACCCACTATGTTACACATCGTTCCTGACTAAGATGATGGAGAAGATTAGCTCTGAACTCCAGGCGATGTGGAATGATACTGATTTTTTGGACCCATTCTGATCTGGCTTCTGGTCTGATCTGGGGACAGAAACAGCCTCGGGTGCTCTCATTACTGAATTAGAATAGAGAGTGATTAGGAGAAATCAACATCCTTGCTACATCATTTCAGCGTGTTTACATTCAGGCTAGATTATTATAACATGCATTAAGTGGGGCTGCCTTTAGAGACAGTTAGGAAGCTGCTGCAGAACATTGCTGTTCAATTATTTGCAGAGTTTAGGCGATTAGAAGATATAACAGCTACCCTGCATCAGTTGCCAGAGCATTTCTAGGCCCAGTTTAGAATGCTTCTGATTATCTTTAAAGTCCTAAATAATTTGTGACTGTGTTATTTGAATATCCACCTACACCTCTCTGTGGTGCATGATTTCAAAGATCAGCCACAAGAGTGCCAGTCCTGTGGTCGTAATACTATTAGGTTAGGACTCCTAACCTAATACTATTAGGTTAGGACATAGCTATGGTAAGCAAGAAGATGGCTCCATTCTTCTCTGCACAATGCTGATGTGAATCCCTGACTGTTTTTAATTAGATCTTTAAAGGCCTGGGTGTTCTCATCTGCCTTTAAATGAGTGGAATCGGTTTATTTTACAAATTTCAGCTTGTAAAATACCAGCACTTTAGTTTATTGTATTTCTGTTGAGAGAGAGAGAGAAATGCCTTTAGGAAGTTTTGCCTTAGAAGGTGGAGGGAATACATTTTTTATCCTCTCAGCCTAGTTAATTAAGGAAAATAACCTCTTCTGTGCGCAGTAGTCAACTCTTCATATTAAGAGGAAACGGTGCATATAAAACCAAATGACAACAAGAAGTTATTAAATATATAGCACCCTAAATCAATCAGCTGCCTTTCTCAACTATTCTCAAAGTTAGTGTAATTGAATTTGCTCTGGAGAAGCATGTTGCAATTATCTTTTGAGTGAACAGAAGTGCCACCCCACATGGCCCCCCAATGTGACTGACTAGACCCATTCACATATAGGCCTATATTCTACATGCAAATCTTTATTCATGCACATGTGCATTGATTTTTAGGCAGAAGATACACATGGAGAGACCATATGCAGCAGACTCTTTCCCCCACCCAAAGTACACCTCTTTAAAAGCCTTCACTAGGACCAAATGAGGCTTTAAAAATGTGATTGCAGAATCAATGAGATGACTTTTCAATAGGGAGTTATAATGTTTAGAGAAGGGATGATTAGCTGATTCTTCAAGCAACAGCTCTCAAAAATATCCCTCCATGTGCCAATTAGACTCCATTGGCACCAAAGAGGGCTTTTGAAGATTTGATTGCAATGCAGGAAAGGAAAAAGCTCTTATGTCTAATTTCTTGCTGATTAGTGAGAAAAGCTTTTTCCTAACTTGGAAGGACAGGCAGAACTTGAAGAAAGAAGCTGGTGGTCCACATGGGAAACTGGAGGTTTCCTATGCCTGCTGAAAGCTACTTTATCAGTTTCAATTTTTTTAAAAAATGTGTCTAACATAATGAAAGTACAGTGTTCCACTTTTCAAATATGCTGAAAATTATCTCTGTATTTATTTGTTTCAGGACCAATGCAAGAAACTATATATGATTTCTGGAGAATGGTCTGGCATGAAAATACAGCAAGTATAGTCATGGTGACAAATCTTGTGGAAGTGGGAAGGGTAAGAATATTTTAGGAACTGTATGTGTGTATTCTATGTGTTCTATTTGCAAACAATAATAAATAATGTGATCACCATAAAGAGGTTTCTATAACAATGTATTCTATGTTTTCTAAAAATATTCCCAATGATCATATAATTAATTTACTTCAGGAGTGAGGAAACAGTGTACCTCCAAATATTGCTGAATGATTATTCCCAAAATTCCCCACCATTGGTCATAAAGGTGGGGCAACTGAGATTTGTAGTACAGCAACATCTGGAGGGATACAAGTTCCTACTGTCATGGAAGGTAAAATAATGGAGCACAATTCTGAGGAGGAAGATTACACATTTTATTGAGACAACAGTTGTTGGGTTTCAACTTGCAGAAGAAGAGGAATAGAGAACAATAGAAAACAATTTAATAGACAGTTTGAATCCTGGCGTTGTTGCTTTTAGGTCTCTGATTCGTTGCTATTTTTAGGAACATAGGAGAAATAGATCCAATTGGTGACTAAGCATAATTGTCAGGGAGAGTTCTGCTGTTGGGAAGTACTAGCAATATTAGAAAAATATCTGTTTATTCTGGTGGAGTGTTGATGAAATTAGGCACATGTCTCCAATCTTCCATGGGATGTTGTGATTCCTGCCTAGGTTTTGTTGTTACCTTGTTGATCTGTCCTGATTAGTTTATACCTAGACAATTGTGTGGAACTTACTTCCTGCTGTTTCTAGACAGTTTCATCCTGCCTGTTTGTTCTAAAGTAAGCAAGGAGCAAAGATTTCTTTTTAGCTGTAAAGGAATTTCAGGGGTAGGAAGGAAATATTTTCATTTATAAAAGATGCTCCAGGGGTAGGGAGAAAACCCAATTTCAGACACTGATTATATAAGACTTGAGGTCACAAAGTGGAATTCTCAGCTGTGTGCAGAAATAAATCAAATGATAATTTTTCCTTATTATTTCAGCCATAACACTACATTCTTGTGATACGATTACTCAGCATTTGACACTTAACACCATAAATGTATTCAGACAAACATAGTGGCACAGTTAAAGGATAACAATAACACAGATAATTTTCAGGAAGAATGAATTCTCATCCAGGAGCAAAATATGTGATGTTATTTAATCTCTTAATTCTTTCTTTCCTAAAAAAGGTTGGGTGGGATTTGGGTGTTTATTATGTCATCCTTCTGAAACCTATTAGCTGCATTGGAGGAAAACATACACTATCATTGGAGGCACATATATTACATTGTGAGGGATTTGAGGTAGGCAGAGTGGATTAATCCACATATTTTATTTTTGTCTACACTTTTTAAAAAAAGAAAAAAACTAACTCTCAACTAAAAATCCTAGTGAATCTTGATTTCCTTAATAATTATTAATAACAAATATTAAATGAGATTCTGCCTTTTAGAACACATGGCTGGTCATTCAGTTTACTTTACATTATTGCTGTAAGGAGAAATGAATTGAGTAAAATCTTTGTCAGCTACTGCAATTCCTAGAAAAAAAAGGATAAAATTTAGTTGCGTTTTTAAACAAACACACATTACTAAAAGGGCAGAGATGTAGGTCAGGGTATTCCATATTTGGAAGAAAGACTATTTTCCAATGGTATGTTTCATTCCCAGATATTTGGAGGGCTACAGAAAAATTCACCTGAGCTTGTTCCAGCATCTAGAAAAAGAAGAAACAAACTCCAAATTAAAAAAAAAAAAAAGGATTCCCTTGTTCCCTTGGGCACTAAGTGCATAAAATAAATGGGGAATGGAAACCATCATGAGATTTCTGTCTAATAACTAATGTGTGTGATATAACTGCTATCTATGATGACCAGATTGCTTAGCGTTACTTAGTGAAGCTATGTTTAGCTTCTTTAACTATTGAAATAAGAGAGGCAATGCATGCATGTTAGAAGTATGTTAGATTATGTTCATCTTATTTTCAAAAGACAGTGAAAAAATAACTAATTTTAAATGATTAATTAGGCATGGGTCACTAAAACACTTGTGATACATGTTTTTAATATCTTGGCAACAGAGTAGTTTATAATTTCCCCTGAAAAATAGATGTGTGGACTTTAGAGTGATCAATTAATTGCTCAATAATATAAGTATTCATGTCATTTCCAACTTCCTTTATTGTAAATTCAGGTTACATTCTATGTTTAGAAATGGGTATTGCTCATGGCTTATTGTGAGTTTAAATCCTACTGCTTAGACATCTAACTGCCTGAACCTGCTCACAAATCAAGGTATAAGACCATATTTTGAGACAAAGCAGTACGATTTGTGAGTATAATTAAGGGCTGCTACAGAAGCACAAAGATGCAACCACTTGGAATGGCAAAAATAGTCTAATTCCTGGAAAATCAATACATTAACTTTCCCTCTTAATACAGAAAATTAAAACAAATTTATTGCTATGAAACAGTCCATATTTATTGCATCTGTTTGATAGCCACATTCCAAAAATGGAGTATATTTAATTGTTATTTATTTATTACATTTGTAATACAGCCAAAATCTGCAAACACTAATAAAATATCCACCAACTATATAGTGTTTAAACACCCGAGTAAGAAAAGTGTAAGACACAGTAATTAAAACAAAAGACAGTGTCATCCCAAACTGTCCCTGAGCACTCTTCAGAAGAACTCCATTTGAACCAACTTCCAGAAAACTATTTTTTTAAAAGAAGTTGTTAAAAAGAAATTAAAGAAGAAAAGCTAGCCCAATTTCTGGAGGGAGGCTAGTCCATAAAATGAGTGCTAAAATTGAAAAGCAACACCTCTGGGCTTCCACCACATTCACCTAATGGAAATAAGGAACCACAAGTAGCTTCTCAGACAAGTCAACATTGGCTGGAGAAGGCAGTTGTCCAAGTACTTTGGCACCAAGCCATTTTGAGAGATAGCTGAATAATTACTGTAGCCTAATTACTGTAAATCAGTTTAGTAGAACACAATAGGTCACAGAAAACACTGTGGAATTTATATCTCTACCAAAGTAATCTGATTTTGTTTCAATATGATATTTATTCAGGTTCATCATTCCATAATGAAACTAACATTGATTTATTTTTAAATAATATTTTAAATAAAGGTTAAAAGATTTATCAGTCCAACATTTGTACTTTACCCTTTCAAAATCAACACTGTCCTACATGTATTTTATCATTATAGTGCTACATCATCAGTCGTTTCCATCTTTGAGTGGTAGTATGGCAGACATCAAGATATCTTGACCTGATATTGTAACATCAACTTTACAAAACATCTTAATACCCTGAAAAATGACACAAGCAGTAATCTAGCTTTCCCCAACTTGATGCCCTGGAGATACGTTAGGACTGTAACTCCCAAAATTTTCTAGCCAGTTAGCTGGAAATCCTAGGAATATTCATCCCAATACATACGGTAAACACCTTGTTGCAGGATTTTCTGTTCTGTAAGCAACACTCCAACATATTAGAATCAATTGAAAGTAACAGTTCTTTTCAGCAAGACCATGCAGCTATTTAGAAATATTATGACTGTCTCTTGTTTTCAAATTATTCAAAAGCAAGTACTGTATGAATCAGAATCACAGCAAGACAGAGGATTAATATCTTCTGATGTGGAATCCCAATTCAGATTCAATCCCTTACCCTTGTTTTTGAATAACAAAAAAGAACAGAAGCTATTACATGCTATGAATTAAATGTTACTTTGACCCTTAATCCCATTTTTCTCTTTTGGGAATGTCAAAATTTTGAAAATAGAATCCATTTATTCTAGGTTAGATCCAGTACAGTATATCATGAACCATATTTTGTTTTTATTTAAAAGATGTATACAGCTGCCCATCTCAACATACTGTGTAACTCTAGAGAGCTAACAACAGTTCATATTATTATAGTATTATCCACAATAATATTCTTGTTTAGCTAGGGTGAAGCATGAATAGCCTGATCCAAAGCTATAGTTCACATTCATGTATTACCTCTTACAAATGTTATCTATCACACAAGAAAGAGTAGGCTAGAACCTCTTTCTTAAATGATAGTCAGGGAGGTTATACAATATCCATGCCATATCTGTGCATTCTCTGTCTGCAAATAGCAAAAGTACAAGCAACTGCCCCTGAATTATATTTTGCAAACCCAATTTTGTTACATTTCACATGGAAATGTAAACAGTGTTCAGCCAAGTTTATGTACAAATAGGAATGCATCCTATTAAAATGATGTATTTTCATAAATCAGACTGAAAAGTTTGGTAAAAGTTGGTTATTTATTTGTTCATTTCATGGAAGCGTGGAGCCTGTAAAAAAGTTATACTGTTTGTAAGTTTTGGAATGCACTGTCTTGATTTTTGTTTTATTATAGTTTTAGCTGTTTTAATTGTATTTTAATGGTTTTGTTTTTAATTTTTTGATTGTTCAGTTTTTGTTATTTTAATCGTGTGCCACCCAGAGTCACATATTTGAGATGGGTGGCTATATAAATTTAATAAATAAATAAATTCAATTTCTATGGCCACCCGCTCAACATATGACTCTGGGCAGTGAAGGGCAAGAGAAAAACAGTAATAAAAACATCAACATGAACTTAAATGCATCATATCTGGGGCAGCACACATAACCACATCAATAAACCCTTAAAAACAGACTCAGCTAGCTCCCTGTGCCTGTCGGAAAATCTAAGTTTTTAACATCTGACCAAAGATCATCTGAACCTCTGCAGAGACATGCTGTTCCACAGGGCAGGTGCAGTGACAGAGACGGTGACTTTTCACTGGGAAAATGATCTCCATGTGTGTATTTGTTTTCCAGTTTTTTGTTAAGAAATTGCCGTTAAAAGTTGAACTAATGTACAACCTGTGTTTTTCCTTCCATCAGTGCCTTGGCACATAGGGCTGTGTTATGTCTCAGCATCTCAGTGTAGTAATTTTAATGGATTTGCTCTTGATTTGGGGAAGATTATGTAGCAGTTCTGTATTTTGAGAATAGGCCAGGTTCCTGCAAAGCC